ACACACACACACACACACACACACACACACACACACACACACACACATACACACACCCTATACAGATTATACATATGTATAAATATACATAAATATATACTTATACGACAGGGCAGCTAGGTGGCACAGTGGATAAAACACTTGCTTGGAATCAGAAAGACTCATCTTTCTGAGTTCAAATCTGGCCTCAGGCACTAGCTGTATGACCCTGGGCAAGTAACTTAATCCTAATTGCCTCAGTTCTGTAAAATAAGCTGGAGAAGGAAATGGCAAACCACTCCAGTTTCTTTGCCAAGAAAACTTCAAATGGGATCACAAAGAGTCACGACTGAAATGACTGAACAAATATACATATACTGGGGGAGGTGTGCACACACACACACACACGTAAGTATATGTATTTATACAGCGTCATCAAAACATACAACAGACAACATAGATAAGTAAACAGAGTTTCTGAGAAATGAAATAACTGCCCAGAGTCACATAGACAGTGTCAGAGGTGATATATAAACCTCATCACTTTTCACCCTCTAATACTGTCTTTCCATAGCACCCTATGCCTGTAGTTTAACAAACATATGCTAGTTGAGACCCAGAAAGGCACAAACACTTGATGAAAATCTCAGAGGCCAGCAAGTTGTAAGGGTAGAAGTTGGCTTTGAATCCAGAGCTCTTTCCACAAAACCACAGATATTCTGAGTACATTATGCTTATGGCATTCAACTGATTTACCAGTCCAGTTACCCTGTGAGAAAAGGCAACGAAGTTCCTATTTCTAATGAAGTCAGGCCAGCTTTTAGTGATCATTGCTTCCCTTTCTAAATGTTCACAAATATTCATTTTAACAGCATGTTGTAGAATTTTGTCAAGAATGGAAATCAAGTTTATTAGTATATAATTTGCAGATTCCACTTTTTTCCCGTCATGACATGTATCGTTCTCCAGGTCTAGGGTGCAGGCCTCCCTCATTCTCCAAGATCTTTCAGAGATCACTACCAGAGTCTCAATAATTACATGTTAGTTTATTCAGTACCCAAAGATAGTTCAAAAGATTGCTTTTCTTGGCAGAGAAACCAGAAGCAGAATGATTTAAGTACCTCAACCTCCTTACAGTCATCCATTACCATCCTTCCCAAGCAGCGGTCCTATCCTGTTTTTGATCCGCAACTTTTATTCCCAACACAAACCTTTTTAAAAGCCCTTTTTTCTTGTCCTTGGCTTAGATACTTTCTAACTGTGTAACTTTACGCAAGTCACTTAACCCTGTTTGCCTCAGTTTCCTCAAATGACTTGGGGAAGGAAACAGCAAACCATTTCATATCTTTGCTAAGAAAACACCAAATGGGGTCAGGAAGAGTTTGATACAACTGAACAACAACAAAAAAACTCATTCTTGCTTTTAAAGCGACTTTAGATATTGTGTTGCATTTGGGACATAATTTTTGGGATCATAAATTTGGAAGTAAAAAGATAGCCTAATCTAACCCCCTTGTTTTGCAGATGAGGAAACTTGGGCCCAAAGCAGTTAGATGACTTACCCAGTCTCACAGGCAGCAAATGACAGAAGTAGGATCTGAGCCAGGTATTCTGACTGCGTCCAGTGCCCTTTCCACTGTGCCATGTGGATTATTTTACTCACGAAAATCTACTTAAACATGAATATCATTACACTCAGAAACTTTAATATTGTCCTCTCTGGGAGTCTGGTAACCTTTTTCCCAAGGAATACATTGAACCTCTTTCTAGATCCAAAAATTTTACAGTGGTCTTTGTCCAAAAGCACTAATGTTCTGACCTAAAAGGGTGCTTATGAGGTCTGCAGCTGACATAAACTTGGAAGGCACAGCTAATATCCCAGATTATGAAATCAAGATCCCAAACAATTTTGACAGGATAGAATGCTGGCTAGATATCAACAATATGGATTCAACAGGGATAAATGTAAGGGAGTGAATTGGGAACTAAATACAATGGAAATCTAGAGACTTATTTTGTTTCATTGTTGTTGTTGTTGTTGTTTTACCAACTGTGCTACCATGTACCTTGAGGATATTAATTAGCCTTCTATTGACCTTCAGATCTTCCTATTAAAATTAGTTAAGTGGGGAAAGGGGCAGTGTAGCAAGGAATGGGTGGTTGCTAAATAGAGCTATAAAGTCCCTTGTAGCTCTATGATCTCCAGGCCACCAGTTAGGTTTTTTTTTTTTTTTTAGGAAAGAAAGAAAGAAAGAAAGAAAGAAAGAAAGAAAGAAAGAAAGAA